TTTATACTCAAAACTACAGATGAATATCAAAGCACTTTCAAACAGGAATTTTTTCTTAGCTAACAGAAACATATATCAACATATTAAATTACTTTTGAAACAAACGGCACGCCATACAAGACCTCACATTTGATACGCTTTTCGTTCGAAAGTCAACAACGGTGCTCTTTAAAAATCCTTTTGGTCCATTTTTCAGTTTTTCACTATCATGAAAACAAACCTAACCGATTTTTAACGGGTCTGTTCTCTTGGCATCCCACGTAATTGGTGTTGGTGAAACGCTTCCAGGTAATATGCGTGTCATGCTCAGTTTTGTCAAATGATTTTTTTAAACAGTTGTTTTCACTTTAACACCGAAATCACCGTTTATTTATGGTGAAAACTTGCTTACCCAAGATAGATAGGACCGGTGGAAGCTTCTATTAACGGGCTGATACATTATTGGTGGACATGATTAGGCCAATAAGAAATGCAAAATTCTGGGTGTTGTTTTAGAGGATACCCAATCAAAATCTGTTCGCATGAATTTATAATGTTTCTTGATCCTATGCTTTCGGGTATTTCCAAGGCTCTACTCATACAGTTTTGGGTACCCGAGCAAATCCTCCTCAATAAAGACAACCTAACGGAGCGTTTATTAGAAGATGAAAGTTGAAAAAAGTTATCCCCACACCAGTCTCTCCACTAACTTTGAAGACAGAGGCTCCGGAGACAATTGAGCCGTCTCGTCCTGGCAGGCTAGCCGAAGTGTCTATATGAGAAAAAGTTGTCCCGCCTGACAGGGTAACTTTACTTGCTGAGGCGAGACAGCTCGCCCACCTGAGCTGTCTCGCTCCTCGAGACGAGTTCGCCTTTTTCATGTAAGCGGTTAGTTGAAAATTTCAAAGAAATAATTGAAAAGTTAGCTCGGCTAGGGTAACTCCGTTGGAAGGTTGTCTCGGGTACCCTATCCTATAAATTTGAATACTTTGGATGACAGAGATTGTTGTATTCTGAGCAACTGGAATTCAGATTAAGTGAACCACCTTATTTATGGGATAACTAGTGAGTTTTATTGAGATTTAATGCATTTAAGAGTTTTTTCCAGTGATCAGAACGGCTACGGCCAACTCTATCTACTTTTAAGACGGCAACACTTTTAGAAAACATTTTTACTGATGAATAGAGTTCACGCTCTTTAAGCGGACCAGTGTTTTCAGGTATAATTGATCCTTTTCCGAATTTCTCTTTACTACCTGATCAGAGGAAGAACTCGAGTCAGACTACTTGGCTGTCTCTTTTTAGCGAAAGCGTGATAGATTTATCGCGTAAAACTCCCAGAAGAAGTCTACGACAGTTAGACGAAACGCGCTTCGACGGCGGAGAGTAAAAAATTTCTAAAACTTCTGTTCGCAGAGTGCTGCTCACTAATTTAGTTTTTTTAAAAAATAATTCTTTAGATAGATGTTATTTACAGTAATCGTTCCGATCCCAAAATGCTAAGTACAGCAACGTCACACCACAAAAAAGGAAGAAAACAAAACAATTATTAACCATACCTCGATATAACGAACGTTTTGGTTGTTTTCCGCAAATCCGTTAAATCGAGGTTTTCGATATAACGAACCCTAGATATAAGGAATCAATTTCCCTAGTCCCTTGGCACTTCGTTCAATCGAGGTCTCACTGTTCAAGTAATTGTTTTCTTGTGCGGGATCAAAGCGAGCAGTCCTGAGCAGGCAAGATAGGCCCATTGCGCTCGCTCGGGTAGCTAATCAGGACACAGTATTCGCTTTAAATTGCCCACGGGCACTGCCAACCATGTAATAATCTAGAGTCGCAAATAATTTTGTCTGTAATACCCCCTCCTTTAACCCCTTTCCCCCTTGTAAGAGGTTGCATTTTGTTTTCAATAATTCTTAGAAGCTACCATGATTATAGATAAATCTTGATACGCGGCTAGACTGGCATGAAGCCGATTGTTTCGAAGCATTTCTTCTTAAAACTACCTGTGCTCTCGGCGATCTTGAGGGCGCTTCTGAGGACGATCTTGAGGGCCATTCTAATGACGATCCTGGGGGCGATCCTGGGGGTGATCCTGTGGGCGATCCTATGGGCGATCCTATGGACGATAATGGGGTGATCCTGAAGGCGCCGTGTTATAGCAGTTCTCAAGACATATGGACGATCTCGTAAGGGCAATCGTGGGGGCGAAACTTGGGATCAAACTGGTCTTCTTAATTCTTCATACTCTTGCTCTCGTCCACCCAGCCAGCGATGACAATCTACGACGGTTTTCTAAAGTTTACGTAGACCCTTCTAGGGTATAAGAGACTGAAAACACTATTTCATCAACACCTCTGTTTAACAATCGCATTAATTCTTGGGCTTCAAAGCCATCTGGTTTAGCTTCAAAATGCTACTCCATATGTCGCTTCAATGCCAACCAATGACGAATTATGGGGAAAACGGACAAGTCTATTGCTGATTAACCAGCTGACAAAGCGGCATTCTTCAGCAACTTAAATGCTGTACACATTGCGATTTCTCCTGATACCATTGTACCACGAATAACCTGCTGCACCACGCGATGTAGCTTCATGCATCCAACAGTCTTCCTCTGGAAAAGTGGAAACTTGGTCAAAGCGTCCACTATTTGGCTATTCGTTAGGGGAAGTTCCCTTTTCTTTCCGGCATCCGAGACGTCAGGAGAAAAGAGCTCTGCATGTCCTTCATAGATTTTATATGGATTAAGGAAAGCAGCTGCATGTACGAACCTGGTTGCAGCGTCTCCATATCTTGAACTCTTCACGAAGTCAAAGTTCATCAGCCATGTAGTGTGGACGGAAAGATGACTCCGGGAATCATACTCCCTCGAGCGATTCTAACTCTTTTTGTCTTCCTGTAAACCACTTGTTTCGATCTGGCGCATCAAATACGATATATCTACTCTTTGTCGTGGAAACACTTAAATCTCTTGAAAGCAGTGTTTCCCAACTGTTCTGCATCGTTGGCGTTTTGCCTTCCAAAATTTTGCTAGACCTTTTTTTCAGCTCTTGTCTTGTTGGTTGTTCTTCACGCTTGCCTTTGCTCAACTAATTTTACCTTGCCTAAACTTTGCCAAACTCAGCCAATCGGGCAATGTTCCAGAGAGCGCTATAACTTCATCGCGTATGACATTAAGGAATGTATCATTAAGTGCCTTACCAACGCATAATTCTAACCCTAAGCAAAATAAGGACAAACAAGAAATTATGAACACGTACAGATGACAAGTATTTTATTTCCCAGGTAGATTTGTGAACTCGATTTTATTTCTAGGACACTAGATAGGGTATGGATGTCTGAGCAATACGGATAACTATCGATAAAGCGACAAGTAATTTATTCAAACTTATTTCACCAGAGGCTGGTTTTCACTCCCGACGAAGTCAGAGTTGGATAAAGTGATATGATTTAACTAAAGTCAAATGTATGGAATCAAACGAAATGCGGTCGCATACGATCCAGTGAAAACTGAATTGTCGGATTGAAAGCGATCGGATGGCCTGAATACTCGCATTGTAATTGGTTTATTTTCCACCTCTGCCTGCGACTCCGACAGTTCAGTTTTCATTGGATCATAAGCTTTGGAGTCATGAGAGGAAGCAGAAGTAAATGGAACCGTTCCGATTCTTCTGACTCCGATTCCGGAGTCGTAAAGCGGTGTCATAATAACTTATGACACCGCTTACGATTGCGATTCTCGATTTTCATTTTTTCAAAGGCGCTCTTTCGACTGCGACTATGACTAAGACTCCGTCGCCAGTGATAACCAGCCTTTTACAGAAGGCGATGGGTGTTGGGAAACCAGAGGGGGAGGGGGGGGGGCAGAAGGGTAGGTGTTTCCTAAAAACTTACGCCTGTTTTCGTAGTTTTGAGAGAAATATACCGATATAAAAAATTTGAATAAACCAAGTTCTGCATGATGATTGTTATAATCAATTTGATCTGATGTCGTCATAGGTGAAATGATATCAGTACTGAGGCTTAATGCATGGTTGGAGCAATACAGAAACATAATGATCGGGTTAATGACTCTGCATAAGAATGGAAGAACATAGAAAAACAAGCCCATCGATATAGAACGGACTGGCTGTACTGCGTGGTGTAAGCCTCCTTGAACTTGAAAGCGACTTTATTCGGAAAATCAGGACAACTCATAGGGCGCATTTTCTACATGTTGCTGACCCAAAAACTTTTCAATCCTAGATCTGATTACTTTTAACTTTATTACAATGTATGTAACCTTTACATACAAAAAAATCTAGATTTTTAATCAGCATACACGTTGTATTCTGGAAAATTTTTATGAACAGGCCCGTACTGTCCCTTTCTTTTAAATTCAAATAAAATCGTAAAACCAAAAAGTTATACATCTATAAACACAAAGAAACGAAAACGCTATGGATTCAGAGAGAGAATTGGATAAAAGTGCTTCTCCGGATTTCTGTTTAATAAGTCTATAAATTGATTTCGTGCACATGGGCTTTTTTGTTTCAGACATTAAGTACATCGACCTTTGCTTTCGCAGTTGCATCATTTGTAAGTTGTAAGTTAATTGTAAGTTACTTGTACAACCCCTATTTTAAACAATCAAATGTTGCTATGCTCCTCTAAATAAAAGTGAAAAAATCCGTATTGTCGGTGCCTCTTGTGATTAAAAATTTCATTGAAAATAAAATAGATATTTTTCAATCGATCTTGAAATCTTTTCCTGTTTAAGCTTTACACTCGTTGTCTCGTAATCCATCTAACTCGAATGGGTCGCACCGCTAGAAAAGAAAATCACGGTTCTTTGTTCAGAAGGTTTTCTTCAAAGCCGAAAAGAAGACGGTCTCTCTTGTTCCTCAAGTACGGCATATTCGATTAATCTCTCAAGACCTTTGATGACAGTTCCATGAAGAAAATGTTTTTATAATCTGTATAATTTCCTGCCAAATCAGGCCTTTATGCGACGCGCGAACCTGTTTTCGTAAGCATCACAAGTTGCGATCCTTGAGTCGAAAATTTAAACCACTAAGCGCAAATTTCTCAGGAAGTAATCCTTTTCCAGGGGATTCTTCATGGCTCTTTACGTCTCTACGCACCACCTCTTCTCGTCCACCTAGCCACATGTCGAATTCACCATCGAGCAAAGCTGACAATCTCCGACGATTTTCCAAAGTTTGCTTTGACCCTTCCAGGGTATGACTGACTGCGAACACTATTTCTTCAATACCTGTGTCTACCAATCTCCGTAATTGATCAGTCTGTATATCCTTCGGTGTAGCTCGAAGTTGTTGCTCCATATGTCGCTTCAGTGTCAACCAGTGACGGATAATGGAGAAAACAGACATATCTGTTGCTGGTTCACGAGCCGATGAAGCGGCATTCTTAAGCAACTGAAATGTTGTGCACATCGCCGTCGCGATTTCTTGTGATGCCATAGTACTACGAATAACTTGCTGCACCACCCGATGTAACCTCATACATCCAACTGACTTCCTCTGAAAAAGAGAAAACTTAGTCAAGACCTCCACTACATAGTTATTGACAAGAGGGAGTTCCTTTTTCTCATCATTTGCTGCGTCTGGAGAAAGCAGTTCAGCATTAATAAGTCTTTCATGTATTTCATCTGGATCCAGGAAAGCAGCTGCATGGACAAACCTGGTTGCAATTTCTCCATATCTTGACTTCTTCACGTAATCGAAGTTGAGTAGCCATGTAGTGTGAACTGAAAGACGACTTCGGGACTCGTATTCCCAAGAGGGATGAGCCTGATGCTCGCTCAATAGCTGTAAGCGTTCAAGTTTGTATTGCTCCAGATATTTATTTACAGGACACTGAAGGGATCTGATATGTGCACCAGCCTGTTCTAAAGCGAGGGGAAGACAACCAAGCTCAACAACCAGCTCATTCAGCGTATCATCCTGGTCTGCAGCGTTTTCATCGTCAAAACGACTTCGAAGAAACTCTTTTGCTTCATCGATAGAAAAAGAGAAGACATCTACACAGCGATGTGGCTCAAGACAGAAACATTTACAAATTTCTCTCCTTTCACGTCGGGTTGTAATTAAAAGGTGGCCGTTTGATGACCGCTTCCATCTTCCTAACAAAACCCTTTGCATGTTATCGGAAAGGGGTGCTTGGTCGACGTTGTCAAGAACCATAAGCCACCGCTTTTTACGCTTTGATATGAACGTAAGAATCTGAGTCAGCGTCAAATCAAACGAGTTTTGCATCATTCCCAGACTTAACGCTAGATCATTTACACAACTGTCAAACTTCTTTCCATCTTCCATGGAGAACCAAAATACGCCTCCCTCGTATTCTGATTTATGCTTCCAAGCGAATTGAGTAGCTAAGGTCGTTTTTCCAGATCCGCCAAGGCCACAAATGGCCGCCATTCTAAATTTCTGGTGGCTGTTTTCTAAAGCGAGGCATGTTTCAAGCGATTCTAGCTCTTTTTGTCTTCCTGTAAACCACTTGTTTGGATCTGGCGCATCAAATATTACAGATTTATAATCTGCCGTGGAAACACTGAATTGCCTTGAAAGCAGAGTTTCCCAAATGTTCGGCGGCGCTAGCGTTTTGAATTCCAACGTCTTGTTAGGCCTGTCTTCCAACTCTTTATCCATTAGTTGTTCTTCATCCTTGCCTTTAATGGCTTCACTTAATATCGCCAGAACTTTGCCAAACTCAGACTCGAGCATTGCACGTAACTGGTTTATATTGTCGTTCGTTTTCTCCAGCCAATCGGGCAATGTTCCAGCGACCGCTACAACTTCATCGCGTATGACTTTAAGGAAAGTGTCATCGAGTGGCTTACCAATACAGAGGTCTAATCCTAACCCCAAAAAAGGACCAAACAACCAATTAGTGAGCTAGTAATAGACCAGTAATCTTTAATGTGAGCTAAAGACTAACATGAACGTCACTTTTCATTAAACGAAACTGACCGAGGAGGCTAGTTGAATGGCAAATTGAATAATCCTCACTGATAAGAGGGTGGACCCCCAAATTGCAGCACTAATGAGTAGATTGTAGGAATCGAGTGATTTAGCCAGACAGCCTTGATTTACCGTGGGCTGACTCACCTTATGAATTCCCTTTGCTGGAAAGCAAAAGTTTACCACAGGCAGACAATCATATGGGTTTGAGGCCGCGTAACGTTATTGACCTCTTACGTTCGCTGGAATTTACAACGGACAGATTCCCTTCACCAACGACAAAATAATCACGCGACCCTCCTCCCCTCAGCGTGAAAATTGTTTCTCAAAAGTTTGGTTTCGGACCGCCTTTTCAACGACACACATGTACACCGGTGAGGGAGAGGGTCGGGTGATGGTTTTGTCGCCAGCCTGGAAATATGAGCTCGATTAATTGATTTATTTTGATACCAGAAGTGTTAATTGACCTCTTCTTTCCACATCTTGTATCGATGGCAAAACTGTTAACGAAGCAGGAAAATAGAGTAGGCTTTTGAGGCGTTTGGAGAAGCGTAGATGTAATGATTTGTGGCATGGATATTGGACAACAATCGACCTTAAACATTCTTGAAAGTAGGTGGGGAACGATATTTGAAAGTGAAAGAGGTTTGGCGAAGTTATTCTATTCGGTTCATGAATGTCTACGTTGAAATTGCAACCCACATCTCTTCAACAGCCAGCGTATTCTATCGACGTTAAGATACAATTTTGGTAGGACCTCCTTGGCCAGAGGGGAAGACAAAGCCATATTTCTTTAGATATGTGTAATGAAATCTTACCATTCTTCCTCCACAACTGCAGCTCAGCCAGGAGCTCTGTGTTTTCTGCTGGGGCAAATCCCAGGTCTTCAACCAAGGTCTTCATTTGATCAAAACATGTATCGTATTTCACTTCCGTCCATGACGCATAGTCGCAATGGGCCCACTCATTTCGTACTTCAGATCTCACAAGTTCAGCTGACAGCGCTGCAGCGCTGAATAGCGGAGCACAGCAAAGAACAGCCAGAGCCGCTGAGGCACCAAAAGAGGAATCAAATGCATTGAAATGTGCCATGAAAGGTTTCATGAACAACTTAGCCAATGAAACTTCATCCTTTACACAATAGTCAAAGCGACGTGCGTCTCGACCCAGGGCGGCGTTATTGTTGATACTTTCGTAGTTCAGCTTCAAGGTGCTCGGTGGAATGGTCCTCAGGTGAGTCGAAAAGGTTTGCTTGTCTAATCCATAATTTGCCAACAGATGCTGGTAAAATGGTTTCATTTCCTGTTGAATCTTATTTCGGAGATACGGCATGAGGACTCTGTTGAGACCAATACCAACCACCAACCACCGTCGTTGTTCTGCGTCTGTCCCGGGCGACGAAGTCATGCTTTGTTTTTTGCCTTCTAAGTCACAAGTTCACTTAACACCTAGAGGATAGAAGATAGCTTTAATTGACGGAAAGATAAGAACAATGGTAGCTCATGACAGAAGCATATTTGGTTTCGACAATATGTTTGAATAGTTCTTATTCAAAGTCTTTCCCTTGCAAAAGTTGGTTTGTTACATTTTATATTTTCAAAAAAAAGATTTATGTTACTGATAGTGAATTTTCCACTCATTCTCCCGCGTTGTGACATTTTCTACCGATAAAATTCGCTTTTAGCTACCCGATTACGTGTTAATTCCTTTGCAAACAACCTAAATTTTACCACGTATTCCACACACAGAGGGCAAAGTCCAGATACACAACAACCAATCAAGGAGCCCTCTTTGAAATATTATCCTTTTCTCTCGCTCAGTATATCTTCCCCCGAACGAGATCGCAATATATCTTTGGATAGGGTCTATTGGAGATACAACAGTTTTAGTCTGCTTGTCGCAGTAAAAGTACGTGGAATTATATTTGTTAAGCGACTAACTGTAGACGAATAATTTTGATTTTCTTTCTGCTGGAGGAACGGCTGTAAGCGTAGTCTCTTCCGCAACCGTTATTTGGTCTCGTCACGCAATAATGGCTTTCTCTCCAACAGGGAATAGAGGGCGTTATGTGACAAGACCAAACAACAGCTGCGAGGGAGACTACAGTAAGCGTGGCACCGATGTATTTTATTTTTGCTCAGGAGTAGTCAGACAATATAGAAAATAAACCACAAAATACCTGTGTGAGTTTAGATAAATTATGTTTTTCTCTTTCTCTCAAAGTGAAGTATTGCAAAAAATTTCGTTCTTTTGAAAGTTACGAAAACATCAGGAACACAAAGTGTCCCATTTCGACCAACTCAGTTAAAAAAAAATAACTCGTTTCAACTTCCTCACCTCTAATTACCCTTCCATACTTCTCCACTTCACATTTCCACAACTCTCCTCAAGTTCCTAAATTCAATAATTCCACGCGTCCTCTCCTCTAAATAATTTAAAGTCCTATTTTGGCCCCTAGATTTTTTTTCATTCCACACTGATAAACTGTTACGAGAAACCCATTTCAAAGAATATGAGGCGCTTACCAGTACAAAACTCCTGCCTCGTTTGCCAGCGCTGAAACTTCCGTTATCAACAACTCGCGGTTTAAAGCGGCAAAACTATAAACTACACTGGATGACTTGGCCGATCGATGAACGGCGTGGTTACAGGCTTACTATTCCTAATAAATTCGGCCTATGATTTGTTGTGTGAACAACAAATCGAAGTACCTTATAGGCGGCCCTGAAAATGTGACACCGACGAATAAATGCGTAACTTCTCAATTGAAGAACTGTCAATCATATCCAATAGTTATGCCGTGGTAAGCAAGGGGGAGGTGGGGTGTTGATGTTACTGTTTATAAGAGAAGCAGAGGGAAAAATATAGCTTAACGGTGCAAACAAAAGACGGATTGTAGCAGCAAGGTTTTATGAATAAGACATGCAAGGAAAACTTGACTGCACTGAGACCTGATGCGTAATGATTAAATAAAGAAAAACAAAACAATTTAAAATAAAATGAAACATTAGCAGGTGCGAATATCGAGAGTTCGAATTATCGAGGGTAATTTCGCAGACATCCAGGGGATATCTCTGCTGGTGCGATTGAACTAGAGGATCTATTCAGTGAGAGCACGAGTTACCGAGAGTCGACGCTATTTTCAGGCCAGCAGACTGACATTTTCTGTCCTCAGTATCGTCAGCATGCCCTGTACTCTCATAAAGCACACAACAATAAGCCAATCAGAGTCCTTGGTTGGCTGAACAAGACTCAAGCTGTCAAAAATATCGAACCATCGTTAAAGTTCACAATCTGCTATAGTTTACAAACTGAGATAGTTCGGCAGTTGAATTTAACACTTTGCCTATAGTATTTTAGCCTCTAATACGGAATCTGAAAGTGAAATGTTCAGTGAAATCCGGCCAATTCGAAGCTCATAAAAAAAGCGAGTTTTTTTCACAGTACAATTAGTAAACAAACTGCTCAAGGCGTGTGTTTTCCAGGAACATAGCTCTGGATGACAGAGCCGTAAAACTCGACTGCTGTGACTCATGTGGCCTTACACTCAAAGCATCGGAAAGGATACCAGAGCAAACTTTAAAACTTCCAGATGTTTTTAAATCCACAATTACAGAATTTCTATCATCACACTTTTCACTTTTCTTCCATACTTCCAAACTTCTAAATCTTCTACATTACTTTACATGAAAGCTTCTTCCTTTCTAATTCATGTCCTGTTTTGTGTTCGATTGATTTATTTCAAGTTATTATCTCGTCAACACTTTCACACATTCAAAGTATATTGGTAACTTTTTTAACTTTTCTCCCACCATTCTAATTTAGACCTCAAATCTTTATTTATTTCATCATTTAAAAATTTTAAAACCTCACGACCACACTCACACTTACACGTGTCTCAACTCCCTCACCTCTATTTACTCCATGCTTCCCCACGTCACATTTCCACAACTCTTCTCAAGTTCCTAAATTCCATTCCAGGGGATATCTCTGCTGGTTCGATTTAACTGGAGGATCCATTCAGTGAGAGCACGGGTTACCGAGAGTCGACGCTATTTTCTGGCCAGCAGGTTGATATTTTCCGTCCTCAGTGTCGTCAGCATGCTCTGTACTCTCATAAAGCACGCTACAATAAGCTAATCAGAGTCCTTGTCAAAATGGTTCAAATAATCTGGTTGGCTGAACAAGACTCAAGCTGTCAAAAATATCGGACCATCGATAAAGTTCACAATCCGCAATAGTTTACAAAATGAGGTAGCTCGGCGGTTGAATTTAACACTTTTGCCTGAAGTATTTCAGTCTCTAATACGGAATCTGAAAGTGAAATGTTCAGTGAAATCCGGCCAAATCGAAGCTCATAAAAAAGCGCGAGTTTTTTCACAGTACAATTAGTAAACAAACTGCTCAAGGTGTGTGTTTTATAGGAACATAGCTCGGGATGACAGAGCCGTAAGACTCGGCTGCTGTGACTCATTTGGCCTTCCAAACTTCTACATCTTCTTCATTACTTTACATTAGAGCTTCTTCCTTTCTAATTCATGTCCTGTTTTGTCTTCGATTGATTTATTTCAAGTTATCATCTCGTCAACTCTTTCATACATCCAAAGTATCGAATTTCCACCGCTTTTGGCAACTTTTTAAATCTCTCTTCAATTTATCCACCCTTCTAATTAAGACCTTAAATCTTTCTTTATTTCATCGTTTAAAAACTTCAAGATCACACTCCCACTTATACGTGTCTCAAATTCCTCACTTCTCTTTACTTTTCCATACTTCTCCATTTCACATTTCCACAACTCTCCACAAGTTCCTAAGGTCCATAATTCCACGCGTCCAACTCACTAATAATTAAAGGTAGAATTTTGGCCCTACATTTTTTCTATTCCATTCTGATGAGCTATTGCGAGAAATGAAGCGTAAATTTGAAAAGGTTTTCAGAAAAATCTTCAAAGAATAGGCATATATCGATTAAAATGATTCGATTCCGTTTATCACAGGCTTACACAGGATCAAGATATGAACTAGTTAACTATTATAAACTGAATTATGTAATCAAAAAGGTTGACTGAAACCCATCTCAAAGAATGTGAGGAGCTTACCGGTACAAAATTCCTGTTTCGTGTATTAGCACTGCAACTTCCGTTTTTAACAACTTGCGGTTTCAAAGCGGCAAAACTATCAAATACACTGAATGACTAGACCGATCGATAAACGACATAAATTCATACATAAACTTTGTTTTTGCTCGAAATTCACAGTGTAGTTGTAGAGCTTATATCTTCGAGAAAAAAAATAAAATAAATTATGCTATATTACAATTCCAATATTATTTATAAACTATATACAACATTATGCATGCAGAGGGAAATATAGCTTGTAGATCTACTGTGGAAAAGCTTAATATCTGAGGATCTCCTGCTTGAATTGTTGAAATGTTAATGTTTTGTAAGTGTCCGGGAGAGAGTTCCATATTTTGCTAGCTACTTATGAAAAGAGTGCAGACCGTAAGTCGTTGTTTTTGTGTTGGGAAGGGCCAGGATATGATTTCCGCGCAAATTGTAGGATGAAAACGTTCAGTGAACATATCTTTTAAATAACCTGGATGATTTGTAAAGAAAAGACTCTTATAAAACGTGATCATGAAGTTCTAGAGGCGTCTAATGAATAGAAATTTTAAGTTAACTTTGCTTAGTAAAATGTCATATGGAGAGCTGTAGTCCTGCAGTATAAACCTAAGAATGCGCTTATTTAGATTATCTACTTTGTCGGCATTGCGCGCACCACAGAAATGCCAAACAGAAGAACAGTAGTAAAAATGCGGCAAAATAAAGGCTTTATAAAGCTTCACTAGCGACTCCTTATTAATAAGTTTCCGAAATCTAAGCATTACGTTAAATTATTCCTGATAAACTCGACTTATGCGTTGTTATGTGAACAAAAAATCGAAGTATCCACATCACAGAAATGCCAAACAAAAGAACAGTAGTAAAAATGTGGCAAAATAAAGGCTTTATAAAGCTTCAATAGCGTCTCCTTATTAATAAGTTTCCGAAATCTAAGCATTACGTAAAATTATTCCTGATAAATTCGACTTATGCTTTGTTGTGTGAACAGCAAATCGAAGTATCCTCTAGGCGGCCTCTAAATCGAAAGAAGAGGAAATGAGTCACCGACGAATGACTGCGTAACTTTTCAATTGAACAATTGTCAATCATATCCAACAGTCATGCCGTGATAAGCAAGGGAGGGGGTGGGGTAGTGATGCTGTTTATGAGAGAAGCAGAGGGAAAATTACAGCTCAACGATGCAAACAAGAGACGGATTGCAGCAACAAGGTGATTTATTAATGATACATGCAAGATAAACTTGACTGTACTGAGACCTGGCGTGTAATGATAAAAAATTAAAAAACAAAACAAATTAAAATAAAACGTAACTTGGGGCGAAT